CTACTACTACTACTGCTGGTACTACTACTACTACTACTACTACTACTACTACTACTACTACTGACTACTACTGACTACTACTGACTACTACTGACTACTACTGGATACTACTGACTACTACTACTACTACTACTACTACTACTACTACTACTACTACTACTACTTCCACTTCTAATATCACCGCTTCTGGCACAAGCTGCTACCATGATGATGACGATATTAATGCTGACTACGACAATAATGGCAATGATGACAATGATGACTAAAGTGCTGGTGGCGCTGATGGCAAGGCAAGTGAATCATGTGCTGACCAGGGCAAACAAGGCACATGGTTGACAATGTTGAAGTAAGCGGGTGATTGGTGACCTGGTATATGTGCATGTTCCGCAGCTTCGTTGACCTGACAGCTTCGTGCAGCCGACACTTGCTTGGAACGGCCAGCACTCACCTACTCTGAGAATCCTTGTTTCCTGATCTATCGCTGTCATGAGTGATCCGTAGCATGTTGAATCCGAGATGCTTGTGCACCCACCATGACAGCGCTGAGGCAGGTGATAGCCGCCACAATAATTTCGGTAATTGGATGGTCTTGGTGCCACAGGCCGACGCACAGAGACACATAGTCAGTTTTTCCCCATGCAACTGGCAAGAAGCTGCGGAACAGACAGTTTCGGTCGAAGCACTTAATAACTTTCGGGCTCGAAGTTGAATCTTCTGCTCCTGTGCGTCCTGAGCTGCAGTGACATGAGAAGCTCGGATGGGAGCGGCTCCCCTTCGTTGAATGTTGCTAACTGGCATGTGCCAGAAAGTCGTTTTGGAGAGTGCCTTGAAACGTCGTCGACACTTCCCCGGCGCATTTTCACGGATGCAGCCGGGATGCTACTGTTCGCACCGTGGTTCGAGTCCCTGACTGGCCCGTCCTGCAGGTCCGCACGGATGTCGCCCGGAATTAATCAAGCCCGCCACTGTTGCGCTTCCGCCTTGACTTCGCCAGCTGGAAATCGCCACGGCCTTCGCCTGTGCAATCAATTCGTACAAGTGCCGCATGTTCCCAAATGAAAACTCTTCTGCCTAGTGATCCCTCCGATAGCGACTTGGCCATACCAGGATCAGGCAAGTCCTCAGTGTCCGCAGCTCGCACACACATGCCAGGCCCTGGAAAAACGCTACCTACAGCGACAACGTCAAGAACACTCCTCAAAAGAAGAATCAGGAACTCAAAGACACGGCAAACATCGGCAAAGTGCTCAAACACATGCTGAAGAGACTTCCGGATGCAAGTATAAAGGGCTGCTAAAGACAACGTCTTTCCCGCCAGTGGGCAATGTCCAACACATCTGCGGTCTCGAGAAACGCGGGAGCTTCAGAAGCAGCCTTCTCCGAAGGGACCTGCAATGACGCACGAGACGGTCAGTCGCAACAAATACTTATAGCGAAGCGATGTGTCTCTTCCAGCTCAGCCGGAGAGTCCAAAGCCCGGAATGACAAGGCGCTGCCAACAAGCCGGGCACACCGCATCATCCGTGAATGGGTTCAGAGGTGACACGGGAAAACTCGCAGCCTGGAGCAAACAGAGCTTCCAATGACTTGAAAGTCAGGGAGAGAGCTCAGCGCAAGGCCGGAAAGCTGAAACTCGCATCCAGGGCTGGGCTCGTCAGGCTCGCGCCTATCAAGCCATGGAGACCTTGGAAGGAAGAGCAAGAGCTCCCTGTGTTGTGATGCGAAATCCTGAAACCGTTTTTGTTCTTAGGCCCACTCTACTGTAAGATGCAATTGAGTCCCGTTAACTCACACCATCCCGCATCAGGAGATTGAGTGCTACACCATTCTTCAACCCGTGTGGCGGATATTCGGGGTCGGATCGTCGTAGTTCCACTGCATGATTCAATCAACAGACGCTCCTTGCCAAAATGAATACTGGCCCGAATGGTAAATCAGTAAGTATGTGGCACAGGTGCATCATTCCCTGCATACCATGGATGAACAATTCATGGATTTTTCTGCGAAAGCACTGTAGCTCAAGATGGGATTCGACGGCAGTGTCTTCTAGTGCAGTTTTCCTAGGTAGCATCAGCCTTAAACTGCCAAGGTCCATGGGCAAACTGACAGTTGCGGTGCACTAGGGAAGAAGAAGGTTCCCACAAGAGTGGGGTTTAGGGTTTAGGGTTTAAGGTTTAGGGGTTTAGGGGTTTAGGGTTTAGGATTGCGTGCTTCTTAGTGGAACCCTGCTGCAAACTCTTCAGGAGGCTACCCGATATGATATGATCGGACTACTGCAGAGTACAAAGCAGGCCCTTCCAGGATTCCGGCGATCACAGGTGATGAGCACTGCAGACGAATATCTACAGCATGTATTGTTGCATATTGTTGCCGTAGTTGTCTATTAGCAGACTTGGTTCATCACTGAGACCCGAATCTCTAAAAGCGGCGGAACGCTTCCCTGAAAGAGCTGCACTGTCAGGATGCAACTTCCAAGAGAATGGGTCTCCGGCTGGCCACGGAACTTACCAGCTGCTGCAGCTGCGACTCTTGCCGATCCAGAACCGCCCTGAAACTCGCATCGAAACATGCAGGGACGAAGACTCACATCAGGTCTGGGCTATGAGTGGAACATCCCGCCCACGGTGCTTGAGGAGTATGAAATTGAAACCCGAAGCCGAGCGAGCGATGAAGTGCAAAGGCGGTCCATGTTTACCTCGAACCTTAAACCTCAGGTCCCACACAGAAACGCGGAAACCCCTGCATACCGTCCAGACAGGCCTGAGATTGGCTTCCAAGAGCTCATGCCGGTGACCTCACCATTTTGGGGCTATCTCTTTGCTTCGGGAGGTGCAGAGACTCTACCGCTTGTTCAGACTGACGACGACAAACTCAATCGACGTGTCGCCCTGATCGGATAGTCGAGTACAACCAAGTCAGGGACGCAAGATGTCGTCCAGGCCAAGTAGCAATGCCTGCAGGATCGGCGACAACTATCACTGAACAAATGCTTCGAATGCGATGCTAAGGCCACCGATTGTAGGCACTTTGGCGATTTGACCTCTCATTGTAAACCTCCTCGCCAATCCCGAGCTAGCGTCCCCCCGCCTCATTCCCTGGCATTGTAGATGCCATGGCGGCAGGAAACGCATAAGCAAACAGCAACAACGCAGCTGGTCATGCTTTACTTCTTGGCTGGTCAACTTGCTGTCGCATGCAGGGGAAACGTATCAATTAATGCACTTTAACAAGTTCAACCGCACCTTGTGTGTTGCATGCTTCATCAGACCCGCACTTGCTTTCCCAACATCGCGTGCTTGGGGCCTAGGCAGCAACAATAGGGCCCAAGCACAAGCCGGACGCGCGAAGTTCAAAACACGGAGATCACATGAACGTGTGAACGAGCAGGACCTGCCACCTTCAATCGAACCACCTAGTGACGATCGGAAAGTAGTAACCTGGGGACATGTCTGCTCATGTCAAGTAGCATCTCATGAGCAAGCCATGCACAACACAGCTGTTCTTCACAGGCTCACGAACAAACGGAGCTGCCCATGACAAGCCTTTGTCCGAAACCTGGATGTTCCATGGGCAACCATTGCCGTGGATTCAGGATGGAGTTTACAATGCTGTTCTGCTGGTACCACTGCTGCGCCACTACAACACATCAAGATAACGCATATGATGCGTTCAACCCACCTTGGTGATACCGAAGTCGGAATTTTGCCTGAGACACCTCGCTGTGCTGATTGCTTGCTTCATGTCTCGAACCATGAATGAAGCCCTCAGGGCTTGAGATGTCGTAGCTCGCATCCACAATACATGCAACCTGCACACGAAATGCCTTGATGTCAAAACGCCGTCGCATCCACATGATCAGCAAGCCTCTGTCTTTTCTTCACTACTTCAGATTGGTGCTAAAGCGCTACTTAAATGATCTTTGGCCTCGGATGACAACCGAGGCTAAGCGAGAGTTGAAGGTACACCAATCATGCACTCCAAAGTCTCTACCGTCCGCGGCCCGGCGACCGAAGATGGCAGCCAGAGCGCGCTACAGGGGTGTCCGGTCAGCCGGTGCCTCGAAGTTCAAGGGCCGGGCCGCGAAAAGCGACGGCTGTCTCAAGCTATGAGGATCCGTGTCTCTGGGTGGCAGATACAGTCCCCAGAGCCAACTGCAACGGCCACCTCCAGGCAGGGTACTTTCACCGCTGCAAGTTGCAAGCAGAGAATCATCGGAAGAACTTCAGCCTGACCCACCTTCCATGAAGCCTAAGCCCTATAAGACGGCCGGACCCACCAAAAACAGGCCCAGTTGCACAGTGGTCGACATCCACACAAGAGGCAGCAGTAAGAGGCGCCACGCGGAGCACGGATGAGGAGATGTTGGCCCACCACCTGTTTTGAGATTCCGGTTTCGGCGCGCCTTCAACTCCTAAATCCCTAAATCCCTAAATCCAAAACCAGGGCTTCCCGCATGTGGGGGCTGCGGTTTGGCAGCTTTGGGCTCTTGGGTGTCCGCACCAAGAGGTGATCGTCCTAGACCCGCTCTGAAGTCACCTTTGTCTCGGATCGGGTTAGAGCTTCAGCTGACTAGTCATGGCACATGCCTCGTCACATCTGCTTCGGTGATATTCCGCTTTGAACGCCTGCAGGCTGTGGAAAGTGCAGTGGTGCTAGAGAAGGTCATGGAAATGTGCTCCGACAGCGGACTCCAACGAAGAGCGCCTTTGCAAGCAAAGGGGTGGAAGAAGGGTCTTGTCATGCCGAGATGCTCCAGCTGTACATCTGCCCAAACTTTGTCGAACACTTGCTCGGAAGCCCATGGGATGCTCGCGTTCGTAATGGTGCCCTTGGTGTTTTACACGGTAGTGACAACCACTGGCCCCAAGCAATCTTTGGAACACCGAGGCCAAGATGATGTCTTGCCGGAGCAGATGGAGCTTCGGTTCTACTGCCAGTCCGAGCTGCAACGGCAGGGTCTGCGAAGCGCTCATTGCCTCGGCAGCCACTAGGGCTCATGTGCAGCGCCGGCGAGCAGACATCGAGCCAGGTGAAAACAGACGCATGTGCTTAGCTCAAAACCCTGCATGCACATGTCATGTAGACATGCATGTCGCATGCAGGTATGACGTGATGCCGCAGCACACTGACATGGCACTACCAGCCCGACAAGTTGCAGCGGTAGGGAGTGGGGTTGGTGTCGATTGCGAGGTGTGTGAGCTTCCCATCGCCGACCGCCCAGAACAAGGGCCAGGATCTCTCGGCGGCAATGCGCTGCAGCCTGCGGCCATCATCTGTACCAAAGAGGGCGGGAAAGTTGCCGATGATGTGCTTCACAGCCTCAGTCTCTTGGGATCGTGAGACGTTCCAGTCAACTCTGGTGCTTGAGCTGTTCTCTTGCAAAAGGGCAGCATGCGGGAAGCGCGGATTCGCAAAGATGTCCGCCTCCATGTACATGGCCATGTCATCTTCAGTCAGTCCGGGCAGATCCTGCACGAACTCTCTCTCCCAGCTGCCGGGCTCGGGACACCAGGCTCTACGGTTTAGGAAGGGTGGGACCCCTCTGAGCCCTAAGCCGCGTGATTTCAGTGCCTCATAAGGCACGGCGGAGAGACCGCGACTCCAGAGAGTTCGGACACCGTCCATCCAGGTTTTGTTGGTGGCACTGCTGTTGTAAGGAACCTGCCGCAGCTGAACCACAGAAGGCAATGGATGTGGGAGGGTTCGGGGCCAAGGGTAAATTTATAAAGAGCACGCATAGCAGGATTACTTCACACTGGAGCCATGCGGGACAGACCCCGAGCCCGTGCAACCGGGTTTGCAGGGTTTGGAAGCTTGACGCACAGGAATGGTACGGCAGGTTCCGCATTACACAGGGCTGAGAAAGGTTTCGGTATGTAGGTGGTTTCGGCCTTCGAGTCAACTGCACAGATTCCGGTGCAATGCCACGCGATGGAGCTCACAGCCGCTCAGGGACAATGTAGGAAGTTCTGCAGTATGTCCAGGCAGTCAGAACGAAGACAGATGATGCAATTCACGACGATATACACATATATATATATATATATATGCCAGATGATGTTGTCATATGTTGCTCGCGGGACCTGCTCGTGTTAGCTGCCGAGGTGCACTGACACGTGCAGGAACAAACCCGTCCCAGATAAAGACCGTTCTGAGTGCCTGTAAATTGGGCAGGATGAGGTGGTCAAAGTGATCGAGCGTACCTGTTCGACATGCAAGTCCCTCATCCTCATTTATGGAGTCTTCTCTACACCCTCAAAGGGTTTTGGTTTGGGGGTTCAGGTAACGTTCTTTGCGTCGGAGGCACCCACCGCGGACGGAGGCCAAGCGCTGCAATTCAGAGGTCTTGTCGGTTGTTTGGGTACGATTTCGCGATTCACGCAGCTCATCGCGTACCAGCCCGAGTCCTCGGATTTTCGGCATCCTTCTTGCCATGGCTACAGGTACACGTGAAATCCCGTCTAGAAGAGAAGCAGGTAGACCTTCCTTCTCCGAGACTCATAGGCTGTGATCAGCACCGCCTTGCGGACGTGACTGGTGTTGAAGACGACCGTTATGTCGCCGAAGGCCGCTGGAGCGCCAGTGTCCAGACGCCGCATGTTGTGCCTCAGAGCAAACCACACCCAAAGCACTATCCCAATGACTCATGGGTTGCGTCTTAAACTGGTCGTGGCTGTTGCACTATGTTGCAATGTCGGGCTTGGGGCTGGGTCCGTCAAACTCAGAACGAACGACAGGGCGAACAAAACCCCGGACTCCGAACATTAAACCCTGGGTGGCGGGAGCCGTCTGCCGGATCGGCATGGATGCTCAGCTTGAGATTCTCACTGACAACATGATGGGTGAGGTGGCCTGGTGCGATGGAGACGACTACCCTATACCCTAAAATACCCTAAATCTGCTGAAGCGCGCAACGTAGATCAATCTGTTTGCAGCTTCAGGCCATGTCGGACGCTTTCCTGCGAACGGTTTCGAGCCAAAGACGTGCTCCTGACCATAAGTGTAGACCGCGTCATACTCGACAGTCCTGAAGGCCAGTGGCAGCTTGATCATATAATATAATATGATATTATGTTACAATATATTATCTACTATATTATTACATACGCAGGGGCCCTTTCCGCTTCACATCAACATGCTGCAACTCAAGTGCCCGGCGCCCTAACCTTAGACTGGCCAAGTTTTGAAACCATAAAGGCTCCAACCCTTCGTCACTCCGGGGCTCATGTTGTGGATCAGCTCAAACTGGAACTGGTTCGCCAACCAAGAGAGGCCGCCCAACTCCCCCTCCTCGGAAGCGATAAGGGCACTATAAGGCCACAAGACAAGCGCTAGAGGGGTCTCTCCCCAATAGTGTGATATTACAGGGCTCCATAGCGGCTGGGGCTTCGGCTGTGGAGCTGTTCGAAAGATATGGGGATTAGTGAGCTTTTGATGTTTACGACCGAAGGCTTGGGGCTCAAGTTCCGGGCCGAAGGAGAGAGGCAAAAAGGCCTGGCTGGGACTCAGGGGGGTTTAGGGTTTAGGGTTTAGGGTTCAAATTTTAGGTTTAGGGTTTAGGGTTTAGGGTTTAGGCTTTGGGTTTAGGGTTTAGGGCTTAGGGCTTAGAATTTGGGTTTAGGGTTTAGGGTTTAGGGCCTGGGACTCAGCTTTGAAGCGCAAGTATGAGGTCCAAAATAGGTCTCAGGCTCAGGACTCAGGGCTTAGGGCAGGTCGTCCCGGTATCAATGTTCGCAACAGGAACCCAACCTGAAAGATTCTTGATCTCCGAACCCGACGGCTAGTTAATTCGGAACTCCTGAACGCACTCAGCATGCAGTCAACCGGAACCTACAACCCCAGACCCAAGACCCGGAACCCGCCTAAACCCCGAACCCGCTGTCCGTGATGTCGTCATAGAGGTTTTTCCAGAACGCCGGGAACTCGGCGGGAAATGCCTCTGCCCAGGGTCGTGGAGTCAGCGGTGCTAAGGGATCTGAATATGAAAGAACCAGGATTACAAGTGTGTCAAGTTCAAGAACCCTGAGTGAAACCCTAAGCTAGCACAGCTCAAGGCCTCGATGTAGATGTCGCGGATTAGGAGTTCTAAGCTCAGCTCGAAAGCTCGGAGCTTCCAAAATCCGGCCAGACCCGATGGTTCCGTTACCTCCACCGAAGAACCCCATCAGATGATCGGCACTGCAGAGTGAAACTCTTAAGCCCCCAAACCCTAAACCCTAAACCCGAAACCCTAAGCGTCATCCCAGCTGCGTGGGCGAGCTCGGCGACTCGTGCTTCGGCCCGGAACCTCCAGACGTGTCAGGGACATAGACCCAGGTCACCCTGAAAGTTGGGACACGGACCGGAGCTTGGGAGAGTGCTAAAAATCACCGAATACACGACGGGTTTAAGGTTTCGGGCTTTAGGGCATCACTGTTATCTTCATTTTGCACGTTTGCTCTTGGCCTCCCCTCCTAGGAACAGCACGGCTGAGCCAACTTGCTGGCAAATTAGTTTTTCAGAACCCGAAGATACAGCAAGCAAGCCCTGAAAAAGCCTGATAAAGGCTTGAATCCAGAAAAGGACGTGGGAGGGTTTACGAGATGCGCGAATTCTGCCAAGCGCCTTTCCAGCAACTCCTGCGACGGCAGCGCGGCCACATCGGGGCAGCATTCATGAAGCACCCCGCGGAACTCGGGGGAACTGAAGAACTCCAACACCTCCAGTCCACTGGGCAAAAGTCGAAAAAGCGAATGTGCTCAATTCAAGTCCCTCTCGATTCCGGGCTATTACCGCCTGGCTGTGCACTGCCTCGGAGCGACTGCCGTTCGATTTACAGGGTACAAGACTACTAATGACATGACATGTACTGATCTACTACCCACTGGACTTTGCATCGTCATACGTAATTGCAACCAGTCCAACCGATCCACTTAGCATTCCTTGCCAGCGACCTGTGAACTACTCTTATTCAGAGCGTCCAAGTGATGCAGGACTGAGACAAGGCCGATTACACCGAAATCCTAAACATGCGGCATGGGGAACGAAAGTGCGCCTTGGGTGTGGCAGCTTCGCTGGCTTCTTTGGCTGCTGCTGTAGTCTTCTCGAAAAGGCCTGCCAAATTCTGGTGCATCCACAAGATTATATGACAACCCTCCGATTCCCAAAAAGAAACGACGACAACTAGATTTCACCAAGTACACACACATAAATTGGACGTCATGTTTCTCACCTGGTGCCACACATATGGACCTCATGCGGTTCAGAATCTGGAAGCTTTTGAGCACGAGACTGGACCCTTCTCACGAGCGGTTTGGCCCGGAAAACCCCTTTTGAACAAGATGTGGCTAAGTCCTTGGTTGTCGAGTCACTGAGTTGCTCCTCAGTCTGCTCGGGCGGGACAGGGAAGAAGGCCAGTACTGCAGGCAGCAAGGCCGGCAGAAGGCGAGACGCCATGGGAAATGTTAGCAGACTGGTATTGGCACTTGCTGCGGGAATCGACCAGTTGTTGACTTGAGCACCGCTGCAGCAACAGCGACACACGAGTGAACCGGTGCCGTGATGCATTGATGCATGAAAACGGCTAAACTAACATCTAAATGTTTTTGTTTGCCGTTGGTTGCTGACCTGTCGCTTGTTTGTTGTGGTGCGCTATCATGCGCAAAATCTGGGAATGCATGCCCTGTGTTTTGTTAAGACCCTTTGCTGACAAGAGCAAACGCTAGGCAGAAAGACGAGTTGACGGAAATTGTCACAACTGTGTCATGTCAACTTACAACTGTACATCGAAAACCGGTGTCCGAGGCCCAATGTGGCATGAAATTGGAACTGGGAGAAGTGGTGTTGCGTTCCGCTGGCCCATCCTTTTCTTTCGCCTGTCAAACCCGCGAGAGGTTTAGGCTGCAAGATAATGGGGTTTGCGTTCCTGTTGCGGCTTCAATTTTCGGGCTTAGGGTTTTGGGCTTTCGGGTTGAACCTACGTTCAGGGATGGTGCTGATGCTTGATCGGGGCTTCAGGTTTACGTCTTCTTCTTGGTGCCGAGGGTTTAGAGCTTTTGGTGTGTAGGGCCTTTTTTGGCGCCCTTGTAGCCCTCGTAGCGATGTTCGGCATTTTACGAACTGTCCTTTGCAGTGCAAGAACGCAGCACTGCAGGACCAGATGGGTTTGGACCCATGACCCTGAACCTAGCACTTAGCGCTACACTTTTTCCGCCCCAGTGGAAACCTCAAACCATGTTTCTGAAACCTTAGGCGTCAGACAGGCTACGAAATGTCGCGAGTAATCTCACGGCAACATACGACAACTCTTGAAGACCAGGGCTGTAGCGAAGCACACAAATCATTAATGATTAATGCATGCCGTAAAGCAGACTTACGGCTTACCTCTCTCTTATATCCATGTTTCAAAACTGCGCTTTGTTACGGTGTAGTCTCTGGCTGTT